AAAATACAGTACTCTGCAACAAGGTTCCCGATTAATCTGATATATTTAATCACAAAGCATTAAAATGAGGCACAGAGAAAAAAGATAATTTGGGGCGCACTATGTATAAACCAAAATAGCATGGAGACTTACAAAGTAGTAAGTATTTGTGCTCTACTTTAGTATAAAAATTTAGATAATTGAAAATTCTGGAAAATTGATTATGATCTTAGCAAAAGCAATGTTCAAATCCTGTAAGAAAAGCTGCGGAAAGGCTTTTACACAATACTAAAAACATCCAAAGGGTTGTAAATTGAAGATAGTGCTAAAATATTCTTGATTGTGCTATAGCCAAGCTCCACAGGACTCCGTGACCATAATAATAAAACTCTACCTCGTGGTCAACCCCTCAGGTCCCCTCACTGTTTGGGTGATTCTGGGTCCTCTCAATAAAGACTGTTTATAAATAAAAAAAAGACTCCCTCGTTTAGGGGATTCTTTTTTTTTTTTTTTTTTTTTTTTTTTTGGTTTTGAACCTTTAATGAGAAAAAAATATACTATCGAGCTCAAGAGGGCGGCGTGTCTGGCGTGTCACTGGGTCAAGGGCTGGGGATAGCAGACGGGATTCGTGTCAACAAAGACACGCGACCACCATCGCGGCGGAGACCGGTGCCGGCAGGATCAGCTCTCGGTCTCCTCGTCGGTCAGCAGCATGTTGGGGATCCCGCGGCTGATGGGGAACAGGCGTCCCGACTGCGGGCACTGCAGCGTGCCCTCCAGCACGTCCACCTCCAGCAGCACGTGGTGCATCTTCCGCAGAAACTCCTCGTCCCGCTCGTAGCCCTGCACCGGCCCCGGGGGCACCTCGACCAGGTGCAGGGTGTCCGCCGCCTCCAGCAGCGCCGCCCACTCCACCTTGGGGATCATGCGCGCCACGAAGTGGGGGTTGAACTCCACGGGGCAGACGCGGACCTCGGTGGCCTGGAGGCGCAGGGGGAACCCGCGGGGCCCCACGCCCCGCACGTGCGAGCTCAGCAGGTTGTGGGTGAGCAGTTTCATGTCGCCGGGCGGGCCGGGGGATTCTTGAAAGGTCACTTTTCCTTGGAGAAATTTTTGGATAGGTGTTAACACACACTTCTTGGGAATGAAATCCACCATGTCTATCACATTTGCCAGAGTACTGTACACAAGAGCTTGAATGCTAAAGAATGCTCAGTAGTCAATGACCCTGCTATTTTGATGTCAAAGTTCTGAAGCTGTTGTCATAATTGACAATTTGACACGCTTGTTTCCCTGACTTTACTTATCAATTTTAATGTAAAAATTAGCGCTTTAGTCAATCTACAGATTCAATGAAATAAGCATTAAGTTAATATCTTTCTTCTCAGACCTGGAAATTACAATAAAGTATTGACATGAAACCAAAAACAATCATGAATAACCAAAAGATCCTTATCAAAAGAAACAAAGCAGGGGTATTGCAGTTCCAGTCTTCCATCTTTACTAAATGTTTACCGTAATCAACACAGCCTGGTATTGGTACAAGAATAGGTCCATAGGACAATGGGTCAGGACAGAGAATAAAATCCTCAAGTTCGGAACCAACTCATCTTTAAAAAAACCTCCAAAATTCACTGGAAAATGAAGAACACATTCAGTAAATGGTGCTGGGAAAAGGATGACAACATGCACAATATTGAAACAAGACCCTATCTATCACCATACACATTAACTTTAAATGGATCAAGACCTAAAGGAAAAACACCAAATTATAATAATCTTAGAAATCTCAGGAGACACCATTAAGAAAAATGGAAAAAGAAACAAATTCCTCTTCAGAGCCCTAAATACCCATGCCATTAAACCAGTGGGTTATCATCAAATTAATATACTTCTGCAAAAGAAAAGAAATCATCAGAAGGGCAAGGATATAGCCAACAGAATGGGAAAAATGGTTCTCCACCTATATATTGGTAAAAAGGCATAACATCTAGGATCTACAAGAAATTCAAACACTCAAAAAATCAGACAAACATTCCCTTTGAAAAGTGTGCAAAATGCGTGATTGGACACTTTTCATAAGAAGAGATAAGAGCAGCCAGCAGACACATGAACATTGTTCAGCCTAACTCATCATGAAAGAAATGCAAATGAAAACACTTTGAAATACGACATATGACCTGTAAGACTTGCCATCCTGAATAAAACAAACAATAACGGATGCAAATCAGGATTTGGGAAGAAATATATGCTTCTACACTTCATGTGGACAGAAAAGTACAGCAACATCTTTGGAAACCAGTGTGATGGTTTGTAAAGGGACAAGATATTGACCTACCATGTGACTCAGTAATTCCCCTGTCGAAAATATACCTGGAGTACCTCAAATCATTTTGCCAAAAAGATACCTGCACCAGTGTATTTTTTGCAGCCCTAATCACAATTGCAAAACAACATGGTGCCAACCATGTTGCCCATAAAAGCTGGAATGGATAAAATAAATATGGTATATACACAGTGAAATATTAGGCAGCCATCAAAAAGGACAGATATAAGAATTTTGCAGAACGTTTGATGGATATGATGTAAGACATTTTCACTGATTTATCACAGAAACAAAGAACAGAGTTCCATATGTTCTCACTCATGAACCGAACTTCATCAATTACAGTGCTGAAAGAAAGTGATTGTCAGTGGTGGAAAATATTCAGGGGGAGAGTTGAGATTGGCAGTGGAGGAATAATGCTAAGGAAGAGAGGGGCATACCTCATCAGCCAGGAAACCTGTAAAATCAATGTTTGAATATCGAACTCTGAATTCTACCCCACATTTTTTAAAAAAATAAAAATAATTAAATAAATAAAGAAAGCTGTAAAACATGTAACTGATTATATTTGTGTATTCAACTTTTTATTTCTTTTTACTTTAAAAATGGGTTCAATTCAAGATTGGGCCAAGAAATGCTCATTATGCAGGGGTTGCTTTTTTATGAATTGTATAATACTTCAATGATACCTCTTTTTCATTTTAATACGTTGGAATACAGGGCATAATTCTGCCTTCAAAATTGACAACTACGGTGTTTCTCGCATTAATTATGAATGTTTTATTCTGCCTCAATTGAAACTTGTTGAGATTCCAGATCTATATCATTCTTAGAAAACTGTACCTTGAGATTCAGTGTACCTAAGTGCTATTCAGAAGGCAGAATGCATAATAAATCTTTAAAAATTTAGAAAATAAGCTGGGCTCGGTGGCTCAGCCTGTAATCCCGCGCCTTTGGGAGGCTGAGGTGAGTGGATTGCCTGAGCCCGCGGGTTCGAGACCCGCCTGGGCAAGCGAGACCTCATCTCTACAATAAATTAAAAAAATCAGCCGGGCGTGGTAGCGCATGCCTGTAATTCCGGCTACTTGGAAGGCTGAGGTGGAAGGATCGCCCGAGCCCAGCAGGTCGAGGCTGCGGTGGCCGGGAGCGGCCACTGCACTCCAGTATGGGCGACAGAGTGAGACTCCAACTCAAAAAAAAAAAAAATTTAGAAAATAAAACAGTATCATAATTTAATATAGCATTTTCCATTGCTAAAATTTATGTACATTTTCTTGGTGCACTCAGTATTTTCTGCTTGTTAATTTTGATTAAATGTTACAGATGTGCAATTTTTAGAGAAAAGTTTTCCCTTATATATTTGAGGGAAATATGAAATCACATTCCCTGTATATTTTAACCCAATTTATGTTTTAAAGAGTATTTCCTTTGAATCCCCTAGTATTTTCTCTACCTAAGAATAATGCTGTACTCTGCAACAGATTAAAGTATCTGATTATTCTGATACTTTTAATCACCAAGCATTTACAATCAGGCAAAAAGAAAAAAGAGAATTTGGGGCCCAATATACATAAACCAAAGTGACATGGAGATTTACAAAGTAGTAAGTATTTGGGCTCCTCATTAGCATAATAATTTAGATAATTGAAAATTCTGGAAAATTGATGATGATCTTAGCTAAAGCGATTTTCAAATCCTGTTAGAAAAATGTTCAAAGGATGGTTATAACACATCACTCAAACCATCCAAAATTTTCCAAACTAAAGAAAGTGCTAAAATAGTATGTGGTTGTGCTATAACAAAGCTCCAACAGGACTCCGTGACCATAATAGTAAAACATTAACTCTTGGGTAACTCCCACACCTCCCCTCAAAATTTGGGAGTTTCTTGGTCCTCTCAATAAACACTACTTAAAAAAATAAAAAGACTACCACGTTTAGAGGATTCTTGAATGATCACTTATCCCTGGAGAAATTTTTGGATGGCTGTGAACATACGGTTCTCTTCACTTCTTGGGAATGAAATCCACCATGTCTG